ACAAGTTAGGGATGAAGTCATTAGAGACTAAATCAAAAGAGATGAAGTCATAGAGTACATTTTTAATGTTTACAAAGTATATAGTGGATGGTTTAGTACATAAAGTTTTATCACATATTATCTTTGTTGTAACCACCAGCATTCTTTTTAATATCAGTTTAGTAAAAATGGTTGTGGGAAATCAATTTAATACAGTTTCGGTGAACGAAGAATGTGCAAATTGCACATTAGTCCTTCATCTCCTAGGCAAAATTAAGTATTGCATGAGCTAGCTTCAGTCAGAGCTACTGTAATATAAATTTCAAAGATAAATCTGTGATGGATGAAAATAAATGTAGCAGAAGTGAGAATTTAATTGGATGAACAGCAAACAGATTTCAGTAAAGAACTGGAGGTGAAATACTGTGATGATTTGCTAACTTGAAAGTTCCACAGTGCAACCTACGTGTCCATCAACAGATAAATAGATAAAGAAAATGTAGTCCATACATCCAGTGGAGTATTACTTAGCCATAAAGAGAAATGAAGTTCTGATACATGCTATGACATGGATAGACTTTGAAAACATTATGCTGAGTGAAATAAGTCAGTCACAAAAGTACAAATATTATATGATCACACTGTATATGAAATATATAGAGGCAAAATTTTATTAGTGGGTACCAGAGACTAAGAGGATGGGGAAACAGGGAGAAACTAGTTAAGGGGCACTGAGTTTCTATTTGGGGTGATGAATACTTTTGGAAATAAAGAATGGTGATGGTTGAACAACATGGTGAATGTAATTAATGGCACTGAATTGTAAAAAAAAAAATGGTTGAAATGTCAAATGTATTATTTATACATGTTTCGCCACAGTAACTTTTCTTTTAAAGTCCCACATTGCATTCTAGACAAGAACATGGCCGTAAGACAATCTAATATTGATGTTTGTTCCATTGTAAAGGCAGTGTTTCAATTTTGTACTTACTTTTTGTCCCCGGGAGCAGCCCACTGGGTGCAGGGTGGTCTCACAGGCAGTGAGGCCCAGCCTCAGATCCTCAGCTGACATTCCTCAGCAGGCTGGGTGCAGCAGGAAGGTTCAGGAAGAACAAATTTGCTTCCTTTTGAAACAACTGTCATTCCGTCCCACAAACCCGGGCTCACCCTGTTTCCAACTGTGCAGCTGCCCAGAGAGAGCAATGATTTCTCATTAAGATGTTGACATCCTCCATCCCCAGTCTGAGTTCTCATGGTGTCCTCTCTGAATGCCTAAGGCACTTGACTGCTAACCAGAAGGCTGGTAGTTCAAACCCACCAGCCACTCCTCAGAAGGAAGACTGGGCAATCTACTTCCATAGAAATACCACCTAGGAAACCCAAGGAGGGGTCTCTATGAGTCGAATCAACTCTATAGCAGGTTTTTTTTTTTTTTTTTTTTTTTTGGTTTCTCCCCAAGTACCTATGTCCATCAGTGTTAAAAAAAGCAATGAGGTATGAAAAGGTGATATACCTCTTTCTCTTCCACCTACACTAGTTTCCCCAAGTGCTCAATGTCCTAGTTGAGAATACAGCAATAGGTTTAGCTGTAAGAAGTCTTATTTCCAGTTTCATTTCATTGGGTGTTAGTCAAGGTTACTCTGAGGTTTAAAATAGGCTTTATTTCCTATCTGTACATTGTTGTTGTTATGTGCCGTCGAGTCGGCCCCGACTCATAGCGACCCCTCCTTGGGTTTCCGAGGCAGTATCACTACGGAAGTAGGATTGCCCAAACTTCCTTCCAAGGAGTGGCTGGTGGGTTTGAACCGCCAGCCGTCTGGTTAGCAGGCAAGTGTCTTAGCCACTATGCTACCAGAGCTCCTTATCTGTACATATCTACACCTATATCTGTATCAGAACCTCTGGTGGCACAGTGTTTAAAGCATTGGGCTGCTAACCAAAAGGTCAGTGGTTTGAACCTACCAGCCACTCCATGGGAGAAACATGTGGCAGTCTGCTTCCATGAAGATTTACAGCTCTGCTGTCCTACAGGGTCACGATGAGTCAGAATGGACTCAACGCCAGTGGCCATCACCTATGTCATCTATAGCTACCTTTCTTTATAAATGTCATTATCATCAGTTTTTCATAAATGGTTTTATCTACATCCACAATTCTTTAACCACAATTCTGAAATTTAAACTGCTCTGAGAATCATTTTTCAAATAAGTTTCTGACAAACTCATAGACAAAACGTGACCTAAATTAACGCAAGCTGTTTATTTAAAATCTTTATTTACTCTTCTTACTGTGAGCGTTACTGCGGTAATGTTAATGAGTTTTATTAAGGAGTGCTTCCCCAGACCCCACAGGGGTGTTATATATAGATATGGTATTTTCACCTTATTGCATTTTTTAATTTTAAAAAAAATATCTGAATACCACAATATGCATCTGTCCCCAAAGGGCTTTGGATACAAACACACCAAATTTCTTACTGAGTCCATGAAGGTTTTATTTTTATTTAGCTAAGGAATAAGTTGATTTTGGTTGATAAAACCTTTTTTTTTTTTTTTTTTTTTTTTTTAATATCACCTCAACACATTTGATTTTGAGGGAATAATCCTTGGGATTGTTTTGTTTCTTACAGAAGTTGCTGAAAATTAATCCAGTGATACATAAGAAACAGGAAGTCTATCCAGAAATGTCCCAGGGTCAGTCTAGAGTCGTTAGGCAACGTCAGGATGACTTTATGAGCCAGGGATTAATGCACAGATGGGAAGGAAAACTCGGACATGGCCTTTTCACTTGAAGATCATAAAAACAAAATACTGAAACCCATTGCTGTCAAGCTGATTCCAACTCATAGCAACCCTATAGGACAGAGTAGAACTGCCCCATCGGGTACAGAAGCAGACT